GCCTAAGACAAACAATGAAAAAAAATACACGCCCGGCCCACAACCTAAGTACCGTATAGTAATTATCACAGCCTACATAATGTTTTAATTTATATTGTACCGGTAACAATTTAAATAATAAACAAATCAAGGTTTGATTTGTTTATTAACACATTTAGGTACCGCTGCATTTATGTATACCTGGAGAGGGTTTCGGAGAGTTAGTCCCGAGCCCGGCCCTGCTTGGTCCAACAGCCTGTTGCTTGGAGCGGCCCGCAGATGCTCTACAGTCTGGTTGGTCGGGCACTTCTTGCAAGAACTTGTCTAGGTGCCTCTTGAAGACATTCACCTTCGTTCCGGCAATATTTCTTACTCTTGCTGGGAGGGTGTTGAACAGCCATGAACCTCTGATGTTCAGACAGTGCTCTCTGATTGTGCCTATGGCACCTCTACTCATCACTACATTTTCTTCCGTATTTTTCATCACTACATTTTCTTTCGTATTTTTCGCTCCAGTATGTTGTTATTCTACTGTGCAAATTTGGGTCCTGGTCTTCCAGTATCTTTCATGTATATATTATTTGGTACCGTTCTCGTTTCCTTTCCATAGAGTACATTTTGAGAGCTTTGAGACGGTGCAGCTACCCTAGACAATATGAAGGGGGGTACAAATATGAATTAAGAGCTAGCTACGTGATGCTAAAAATCCCCCTTATAAAGGATGGTTAGTCATACGTGGCTATGTTATCAATAGTCTGCACTAGCAAGCTTAAGATACATTAAGGAGATATCATCACGAGAGTAAGAGTAAGAACACGAGAGTTACCAAGGTGATTTACAAAGCTCCAGTTACATCATGCCGATAGGTCTCCAGGGTCTAATAACTGGGCTTTCAGTAGTATAATGTGAGAACATGACCCAGTTCCTGCTCACGGAGTTGGACATAGATAACTAAATATTTTCGCAGGCAAACGTCCTTTTAAATAAATATATAATGCATAGTAAATAGTTTTAATTTATGGCAGCTTAAAACCGTTTTTCTTTACCAACACAGTCACAATGGGTAGGAAAAACAGGCGTGTCCTCATTTGGCCTTGAACAGCCAGACACTCCCCAGGAGACTCAAGGTCACGGGTACACGTTACACCTGGCAACTACACCCTGCCGTCAGCCTCCCGGCATCTCGTGCCAATTGTCAATGTCTACATTTTAGAGCAGGTGTTCTTAACCTTCTTAGGATTACAGACCTCTAATGGATTACCCTGTATCTCTCTCTACCCCCTTAGCCAGACTTGAATTCATCACCACCACCACCGTCGGTCCTGTTCGGTACCTGTATGACTTCAAGGGATGTCAATGGTCTCGTTTTACTATGCATATGGATAGCAAGGAATAGAACGACTGAAAGGAAGTCATAAGGGTGTTATCATTTATCTATAGAAAAAAGCGGCCTCCAACGAAGGGAGTCGATCACTGAGCTGAGCTCATGCCATGAGCAAAGTTGCACCATGAACCTCCACCACAGTCTCTTTACATATTACATGGAAGACACAGCAACAACAAACATACCGAATACTGTACCAGGAAGTTAATGTTGGTACAGAATAATAAAGGAAACATTACACCGATGACTGGGCCCATCATGCATTATATTCCAGACGCCTCGTAATATGCAACCTGTTATCAGGCGCATACGTGCTTTTGCAGACAATTCAGAAACTAAGATTTGTAATTGGATTCCACGTCTTGGGGAACGTGCCGAGGAGAGAGTAGAAAGACAAGAGTGATAATGTGGACATTGAACAAGCCGTGATAGGATTATAAATTAATTCAAAACGGCAAAAGACCATTATAGATCTAAACTAGGCTGTTTGGGGAAGTTTATTGTGGTTATGACAATACTAATAGAAAAGAAGTACTTGTCTAGTAAATGTGTAAATGCATACATGGTATACATCATACCATGATGGGGGGTTGTCATACATCATACCAAGAAAGGGGGTAATCATACATTTCAAGTTAAAGTAAGTTTTTTAAATAATGAAAGGCATCCCAAAAGGGCAGAGTAGCTTAGGCTACCACCACCCTCCTGTCTTACAGGTATCTCAAGGGGGTTCTCAAATAATCTTAAGTTAATCTAGCATCAAAAATATGCCATTAAATTACATTAATTCATTACATGTTACGGAATATATTAAAATATTGTTATTGCATGCTTGGTACCAAGTGATTTGAGACCTGAGAATTATCATACCATTTTCACACATGCATATATAGTACAGTAATTTGATATGGTATATTAGAGATTTCCTTTCTTCTATTTGAATCAATCAATTTATTAGTACATAGTGATCTAGCATGTAAGCACGCGCGCATACTACATATTTTGCATTCCTTTTTAGACATTGTATAACTGCTAGTAATGTTCATAGGCTAATCTGAATCTCGTGTACATTGAGCCCTTCCATGTAGACTTTGTCCTACTATATGTGATGGACGGGCTCTTGCTTATCTGTGTGTAGTGATTAAATGTATTACTGCCCATCATTATAGATCTCTTGACTACTACAATGCGGTCTTGGGTCAACTTAATCCTTGACTTAGTTCTCGTGTTATGACAACACATCGACAAAAGGTGTTTTTCAGAGTCCATCATTCCTATTATATGTACATTACGAGCCTCATTCAACACTTCCTACATGTGAAGAGATTCATATAAAATTTAGTTTACGCCTTTTATGTTTAATTTCCTGATGAGCTAACACTCCTCAGTAGTATACTGATGTCTTCTGCTGTTGAAGAAATCCAGTCCTTCCCTAATATCAATAAAATGCAGGCATCTTTACGCCTCATAACCAAATCCTTTAAACCCGCTAATAGAGCTTGAAATTCAGCCTGCATAGAAGATACATTGTCGGCTAAGGAACAAGATAACACTGAAGGGTTTTGACATTGTGAGAGCTGATTAGATGATTTCTGATTACGTGTAGAATGTATTCCAGACCCACAGCGAACTCTGGCGTAGGTCAATAGCCAGACAGAGAGCAGGCTCTTAATGACTTTGGGACGAATAGGGATGTAGTAAATTGTGACTGGCTGCATGGTTAACGATGTGAGTCAACGAGGTTTAACTTATTTCCACTTAATGAGGGGGAACTAAAAAGAAAAAGACAACTGCTAAAGGCCTGTTGGCCCATACAAGGCAACTCCTATTCACTTCCACTCGAACACATTCATCTATTAGTCAAAAAACTGTAATGTTATTAACACAATTTCTTAATTGTATAATTAAAGAGATGGTAATATGAGGAAATGATTAATGACGGAAAATGAATCTGCACTTTGTTCCAGGGCAACTTTTAGTTTCATCAAACATGGTTTGGCTTAGGAAGCAAACTTCCAGTGGTAATAAATACTCCGCTCACATTTTTCGTAAAATGGTAAATCGTCAAAAATGCCGAAACATCCGACGTTGTTTAATGTTAAACGGGATGTGATCAATCCATTAGAAAGACTAGAAAATAAGTACCATTAAAGACTGAGGTACGTTACAAATATAGTTTGTAACTATCATGAAGCAGACGAAGATACGTGGACGAGCGTGACAAGTGAGTTTTGAATACTAATCTAAAGATAATTTATTGATTAGGAGAGCGGCTGCCACACAGTTATAATTACAACGCTATAGGGGAATTAAATACCGAACTTAATCAAAGATACTGCAGATATGGCGTGTTAATGATAACATCCTCTTGACATATATGTTTAGAGGAGATAATGTAGCAATTTGATAATTATTCTGGGCTCTAAAAATTAGATTTTAAATTGACACAGGATGCTAAGGGTGATTAATATCCTGTGTCAATTTATACACCATGAATAGTGATTAGTTGTTTAATTTATGTTAGGCAAGTAGACGAAAGCTAAACATGCAGAGAATAAGCCACAATATCATGTCAGAAAAACAAATAAAACAACTCGAACATCATCTATGTGTATAAATTAGTGTCTGTCAGAGTTTGGAGGCCAGATGCTTGGGGCTAGCCTTGCCCAAGTTTTACTAGTAATGGCTGTTGGTTACGTGCCCATCATGGGTTGGCACCAATGAAATGTAATTTGACACGTTACTAATGGAATCCCAACGACGAATCTTGTAATAAATTAACTGAACAAGGAATTAATATATGTTCTTTTTTCTTACTATAGTGTCATTGTCAACTGATGCCTCCCGAGTGGGGTACTGATCGTGACTCGAACATGTGTACACTGTTGGGTGGGGAGAGAAGGGAGAGATTGGACTGAGACTGCTTACTTCCTTTCATACAACTCGGCCCCCCCCCCTTCTTAGAGAGAGAGAGATACACTGAGACAAGAGACTGGGTCGACGTAGGTACCGCTGGGTACCTCATCTTGGTACCTGCTTGATGGGGTTCTGGGAGTTGTTCTACTCCCCAAGCCCTGCCCGAGGCCAGGCTTGACTTGTGAAAGTTTGGTCCAACAAGCTGCTTGGAACTTTTTGTTCCAAGTAGCTGAATCTAAAACAACAACTACCACCACCACAGTACAAATGAATAACTTTTGAGATGTACGTGGTGATGTTTGCTTACACCGCAGCGCGAGTGTGTGCTTTGTCATGGATTCCTTTGTCTTTAGCTAAAGTCGCTGTGGTCATTGTATATTCATTATTTAGCATGCACACAGTCCAGGAACATTTTATACACGGTTTTCCTAGGCATAAATAACTATTTTGTGGTCAAGGTTACTTTTGTGTTTGTCTAAGTGTCAGTTGCCCTGTGTACTCTTCTATTATAACTTGTATAAAGCATAGTCACGTGGCAGTGTACTGCCGTGGACCATGTTGTGGCTTGCCAGTACCCTACAGTAACCTGGAATGGGCTTTGGAGGGTGGCTTGACAAAGTTTAGAGTAAGGCTGGCTTGAAGTATCAACTTTGTTCATATGTTAATACAACATTTCCATTGTTTTATGTGTACTTCACGGGTGATGTGTCCTCTGTTGCAGGTCCCAGCTTGAAAGGGTGATGCAAGTTGTGAAGTGTGAGATCATCTCTACCACCTCTACCGACGAGCTGGATGCCTACGTGCTCAGGTATGTACCGTGTGCAGGCGAGGAGTCACAATAACATGGCTGAAGAATGTTGACCAGACCACACATTAGAAGGTGAAGGGACGACGATGTTTCGGTCCGTCCTGGACCATTCTCAAGTCGATTGTGTACAATCGACTTGAGAATGGATGTGGTCTGGTCAACATGTACGATGTGCATTTGCTGCTAATGATGGGAAGAGGTCCACTGATCCACCCCACATGTTTGATGTTTACACATTGGGGAGGAACAGCTGACATGCGATAAGTATCTACGGGCTCACCATAGCCCGTGCTACTTGGAACTTTGTTTCAGGTAGGGAATCTTTAACAACAACAGCTGACATGCGAGGGAGTGAGGTGTTTTTACCTATCAGAGACTATGGGGATGTGACGGCGACACTCTGAGATGACACGTACTGCTTTTGTTAATGACAGACCGAAGGGGGGACGAACCTAATCAAACCGGAAAGCGACATGACCAACTGCACGCAAGCTGCCATTTGCAGAGCATTTACCATATGCTGTATGCATGAAAATTGAGATTACAAAATTCAAACTACGAACTTCAATGAAAATTCAATTCAAAATTCAATGAATTCATTGTTACACAATGAGAATATTGCAGTGGGACTACCCATCGCATAGGTTCGAATTCTCATCACAGCTCCTAGGAATTTTCTCAATGGAAATAATGTGAGCAAGTGAGAACGGCAAATGTCAACAGACAGGAGCAGTATTAGCAGGGGAAAGCTCAAGCCATTACGACCATTTAGCACTTGGAAGGGGTCAGGATAAGGATTTGGGATGGGACAAGGGAAAGGAATAGTGCCCAACCACTTGGATGATCGGGGATTGAACACCGATATGCATGAAGGAAGACCGTCTCTCCAGCGGTAGCGTAAATGTCAACGGAGAAACATGAATTATTCTAAGAAACATGAATGACACCACAGATGCAGCATCATGATAGAGACGGAGGAGGGGGACATGCAGCAGAGTGACGGGTCACTGGCAGGAGGGAGACATGCAGCATGGTGACAGTGACGGGGGGGGGACATGCAGCATAGTGACGGGTCACTGACGGGGGGGAGACATGTAGCATGGTGACGGGTCACTGACAGGGGGAGACATGCAGCATGGTGACAGTGACGGGGGACTCCCTCTCACGTCACTGTGACTGGTTACTGTCAGGGGGGGGGACATGCAGCATGGTGACAGTGACGGGGGGGGGGGGAGACAGCTGTTGGAGACAGTGAGGCATAAACTGCTCGTCACCGGATCACGACGGATACATCGCTATGGCAAGAGAGTGTAGTGATTAATGCGTTGGTGATAATCTTCTACATAATGTATAATTGTGATGTGAAAGGCGAGAAGTGACCTGGATTATAGCCGTGAAGTAATGTGCCATAACCCCTCCCCTTCCCCCCTTCCCGCTCCCTGCCTCACCTAAAGGTAGCGAATAGTTTATTCAGCGCCACGCGTCCCTCAGTTGTCAGTGTTGGCCATGAACTCCACGAAGAAGTAACGATATGACTTGCTCTCTCTTTGATACTCGTGCTGATAAATATATATATCTTTCATTCTATTTTCTTTAGCAAGGTTTTTAAATAAATGGTTGTATTTAGCCAAGATTAATCAGTGCTGTCCAAGCACACTCCATAGCTGAGCGGACGTTGCGTGACGCGTTTTTATTTAACAAAACAAGGCGTTCATCAGCGGTTAATTGAAATATACAATGCGTTATGGGGTAAAAATATTCAATACAGCAGCATTAACTGTCGGACAATTTTCTTCGCAAATAGAGCATTATGTATGTCGATTGGTCTACCATGTCATGTAGCAGAAAAGAAATTTAAATTTAATGTTGCATTCCATGGGGTATTTTTTACTGTTTTGTAAGGGGGGGCACTCGCGTACTGGGTAATTATTAGGCTTTGTGTCCCCTAGAGCTGTTTATGAATAATATACATGCATTACTTAATTAATTAAAGGATTCATTGTGCAGTTCTGAATTAATATTTTGATTAGGATTATCGAGGACGGCTTGTCTGCCCATCCATTGTTATCCCCTTTCCTGCCTCTCCCAATACTGTTCCACCAGTAATAGAGAGAGAGAGAGAGAGAGAGAGAAATGAAGGGGAGGGCGGGGAATGGACAAGACTTTTTTTTTTTTTTTTTTTTTTTTTTTTTTTTTTTTTTTGGGATACAAGAGTTGTTACATTCTTGTACAGTCACTAGTACGCGTAGCGTTTCGGGCAGGTCCCTGGAATACGACCCCCACCGCGAAGAATCGTTGTTACAACCAAGTACACATTTTACTGTTGAGTTAAACTGATTCCCTACAGTCCCTATTCCCTACAGTCCCCAGGCATGTTAAACATGCGGTCCCTTGCAAAACTAAGCTTATGGAAGTCTCAGTTGTCAAATGAATATTTAGTTCATTTCCTAAGTACAAAGAGCTGAAAAACACTGCCAATACTGACGTCACCTGGAATTGTTGTCATAGGAATTTCAGGAAAGATTTCGTGATTTATCACCTTTTGAACACCACTTTGCATTATTCTCAGCATCATTCACCTTTGATGTGGCCAAGGCAGAGGAAAGCCTGCAGATAGAACTATTAGAAATGCAGTCGGATTCAGAGCAAAGTATATTGAAGTGGGGATACCTGGTTTCTTTTCATACCTTCCTGAAAAGTTTAAAAACTTCAGAAAGTTTGCCACAAGGATTATGACAATATTCGGTTCTACCTATACTCGCCTAGTTGTGTTTGGGGGGATTGAGCTCTGGCTCTTTGTTCCCGCCTCTCAACTGTCAATCAACACCTATATGTGTGAACATTTATTTTCCTTCATGGAACCCAACAAAAACGTCCCAGAACAAGGCTGGCTGATCAACACTTGCCATTTCTGATCAAAGTGGGAACTGCACAGATATTTCAGCCAGACGTACCGAAAATTGTCATTAAAAAGAGGTGTCAAGCCTCTGGACAAAACACTAAAAATGATTGAATAGTCGTAAATAGGACATGCAGCCAAAATTGCGGACCTAGGAAATGCAGTCACCCAGACAGACACGCCGCAGGTCTATAGGCCTGATAGCCGAGTGATTAGCGCTCTGTACTCGTAATCCCAGAGTCCGGGTTCGATCCTCGGTGATGGCAGAAACAAAATGGGCAGAGTTTCTTTCATCATGATGCCCCTGTTACCTAGCAGTAAATAGGTACCTTGGAGTTAAACAGATGTTACGGGCTGCTTCCTGGGTGTGTGCACGGGAGACATCTCCCGTCACGCAGGGTGCAGTCGCGCCTCCACAGATCTCCAGTATCAGCTCTTGATACTGGTAATGGCTCAAAAGGGCCACCACTTACGGGATATTCATGCCCGTGCCACCTCTTGGGTGACTTAATCTTTATCAATCAATCAATTGGGTGTGTGTGCGTGTGGGAAAAAAATTAGTTAGTAACAGTTGATTGATTGACAGTTGAGAGGCGGGCTCAAAGATGATGCGTGGATCCCCCACCATTACCATCTCAACCAGCTCGACGTTATATGAGCAGAAGACCTTATCTCAGGACTTAGACCCCACCCCGAAGGATCTAGATGGCCTGAAAACAGAAGCAACACCCAGATAAACGTTTCTTACCAACTCGGTCCCTCGACCACTCTCAAGAGAGGAACATGAATTAAGAAGCACCCCAGATTTTAAACGTAGCTTCAGCCATTTGTAAAACAAAGCAAAAATAGGAAAGAGAACTCAACCCAAATGCGACAATAACTATAGTCGCCAAGTCGATCCAATACCGCGACCTTACCGTCCTAAGACAAACTTACAGACCCAGTAGCGACACTGTCAAGACCGGATGAAGCAGCAGAAAGGAAAGATGACCACCTCCAGAGGAAAGATGGAAAGCTGAATATCTCCAGCAACAACGAGGACACCTCCAGAGGAAAGATGACCACCTCCAGAGGAAAGATGACCACCTCCAGAGGAAAGATGACCACCTCCAGAGGAAAGATGACCACCTCCAGAGGAAAGATGACCACCTCCAGAGGAAAGATGACCACCTCCAGAGGAAAGATGACCACCTCCAGAGGAAAGATGACCACCTCCAGAGGAAAGATGACCACCTCCAGAGGAAAGATGACCACCTCCAGAGGAAAGATGACCACCTCCAGAGGAAAGACGACCACCTCCAGAGGAAAGATGACCACCTCCAGAGGAAAGACGACCACCTCCAGAGGAAAGACGACCACCTCCAGAGGAAAGACGACCACCTCCAGAGAAGGAAACCCAAGAACGAAGACACGCTTTCCCCTCTTTAGGTGGAAATGAACCTAATTACCTCCTGTTTTTTCCATCTTGTCCGCCGACGAGCAGGTCACCCGGGAAGACTTATCCTCACTTTAATAAGACTTAATTGAAATCCTCAGATTAGGCAAAATTGTAATTAAATTTTGTCAGTAAAGATGGTTAATAATAATAATAATAATCGAGCAGGCAGACGAGACAGCAATGCACCCACCACGCCTCCCCGTGTAGCCTGCTTGGCATTAATTAAGTGATGTGCAAGCCTCGTCTTGTGTCGTGTAGTTGGGTCAAGCCCTGACGCACACTTCACCTCCAAACGCCTCCTCTCCCAAGACAACTCAGCTGTACCCACATCACCGCTCGCCCTGTGGGTATCTTTTTTTCTGTAAATGATTGAGTGATGCTGAGTAACGCATGTCCTTACCCCTCTGGTAAATCTCTCGAGCATCTTCGTAAATGACGTTGATGCAGCAATCCGTCCTCATAATAGAACGTCGCATTTTGACTTACACTTTACCTAAGGCCAAAAAATCGTCGTAGTAGAAAATGGTAGCGGCTCGCGGAATTTACATAGTCCCGTTTTTTGTTTTGAGTCCTCAGGTAGGTTAGAAGAGGGCACTTGTTAGTACGACAGTTTGTTGACGTTGGGAAACATTAGGAGGACGGGCTGGATACAGCTGTATACTC